CATTGAAATACACAGTTTTAGGGAACGCTGCACAGTTAGAACATGAAACGCTTTTTAAAAATGTGAATCTTTATAATATTGATAGAGTTTGATCAGTTGGGTGAAACACTGGCACACATTTAAAATCAGTCSCTAAAACAATGTGTTTAATGACGTGACACAAGAAGTTAAATTAGACTGTTAGAGAGAAGCTTTGTCAACCTCAGGGTGGTAAACTTTAACTCTACAGTTTTAAAAGCAAGCTGATTGTGGTTTAAAGTCACATTATTAAACTTGAYGTGCGGTCACAGGTCACAAAGACGAGGGTGTCGACTTTCAGACCCGTCAGTCGAGTAACTCTGAGCTCCGAGGGTCAGAAGAGTTTCCACTCATGACGCTCATCAAGCACTTTGGAAAGTGTTTCGCTTTAGTTTAATGTCCTTCCTGAACCGGTGCAGCAGCAGTCAGAGTGACTTATTACCTGGTGAAATGGAACGTATAGACAAGGTGTACGAACACGGGGGATTTCATCCAATCCCACAGCTTTTCCCAGGATGACTAAAAGACAGGCTGGATTCAGGGACTTACACTTCTAAAAAAAACGTGTTTACATTCATCCAAACCTCATTTTACAACTGTCTGTAGAGGAAATTCTRAAGGGAAGTTACAAAAAARGGRAAAAAAATGAACTGGCCCTTGTTTTGGCAGGTTAATGCTGGTGTTTTTTGCCAGCTGCTGTCTAAACAGCCGCCTCCTGCATTATATTACAGCTCCTACCCACGAGTTAAGGTCAAGCGCAGAGTTAAATAATGGGAGGGGTTGTCGAGTCACCTTGCGACATGTTTCATTAGATGAGTTTTTATGTGCATGTGCCGCAGCTGTGCGGGTTTTAACAGTCAAATAGATGCAGAACTGAATATAAAAGGTGTTTTGTTTCTCCTGTTTAGATTTTAAAAGCAGGAGCCCTTCAAAGCTTTGTAAAAAAAAAACTAGTTTGAGGTTTAAGCTTTTAGAAAAGAATGCCTTTTGTTTGATCACAACTTGTTTTCAAGATTTTTGGTTAAATTGTGTTAGAAAGTTCTAAAGAACTTGCAAAAATCCAGGATGTTTCAGAATAACTGAACAGATTTTTAACTTAAGAAAAAAAACTGGATCCATTGAATTTTACCTGCTTTCAACCAGACTGTGTTGTACCAACAATTTATATTATCTGTGGTTCTTATATTTATTATTTATCTGTACAAACCTCTGTATGACTTACATTTGTTTATTTTGCTGCATTGAATCAATAATTTAAAATGTAAAAATTTAAAAATGTGTTTTTGTGTTAAATTAATTAAAATATGTGTTTTTACTTCAAGATATGTGAGGTGCATGTGTAATTGTGCTCCTTCAAGACTAATGAATTCTTAAAATAAAAAAAGTTTAATCTTTGGCAGCGGTGTCACAAGTATTCACATTTGATTKGATTTGATTTATTTAACAGGAAAAGATTATTAAAAATCAAGCCTGACTCAGCATAATTACTGTTTTACAGCAGGTTCCTGTCCTGCAGCACATAAAACACTCAGAATTACAGCATCACAATCACATCATTATACGCCATAGACA